CTCATTCGTATATGCAGACTATATTTCCAAGCGAACTTTTTTTCCATTTTTTTCACGTTATTTACATTTATTACCAAGGCCCTTTGATGTCTTTATCATCTTCGAAATGATCTCTTCTTATGTTGGGGTTGGGTGACTTCCCTCCTGATCCATTCCTCATCATACTTAAAACATCCCAGCTAGTTGTTTTGGGATTGAAGAGAATGCCCTTTTTTCAACGAGCTTATGAGATATCCAGAAGTTTTCATTTTCTGCACTACATACTCTTTTCCTTCTCCAAATGACCACCACAAGAGATTAGCAATGTTCTTAGAGAAGTGGTGGGGCAGGATGTTAGGAGGCAGTAAAGGAGCACGTGGTGTTGGGAAATCGCTAGTAAACTTTCCGGATTCTGCTAATCTTTGTACCCGTCTATCAATTAATTTAGGTCTCACGATTACTCGTAGCCACCGAGACCATCACACCACATTCGTACCTCTCAGCTATGGTGATGCAGTGGGGTCAATTCGTAGGTGAGTCAGGAATACATAGCAAACATATACGGATGGTTTTGCTTGGTCACGGCTTAGTGGTACGCACACTTTTCACGTGCACGCGGAGAATTCGCGCGGACGTTGTCGTGGTGTTCACACCGTGTGGGGGACGACGAGACGCGGACGCCACAAAATATGGCATGGATGAGAGCGAAGACATGTGAGAAAGATGTTGCTCAAATCATTTACCGCGCAGTTACGCCGCGCGCGTTGCACTACAAGTGGGCGCGTCGCCGCGCCGTGACCCGCCAATGCACTCCCGGAACTTGATACACACCCGATGGGGGTGTGTTTCAAGTGGTACGAATGGAAATTTTAGCACCTAATTAGTGCTGCGTCGCGACGAGGTGCGAAGTGACCTCAAATTTTGGCACCTAATTAGTGCTGCCTCGCGACTAGGCGCCAGCTATCTGTGGGCGAGACGCGCCGTACATGTCCATAATGGTGCAAAAGATTAGCGAACAACGATTTCGAAGGGAGAAAGGTGATTCCAGATAAAATGTAATTATTCATTTATCATTATTAGTTTTTAATCTTCTGGTCCTTCCTGATGAACTTCAACGAATCTCAAAAAATAGTCATGCACGTTTAAAGAGAGACATCAATTTAGAAAGTATATGACGACTTGGCTTTTCCGTATCTGTGAAAGGCTCCCGCTAGGGTTAGTAGTCCTCAATTCCTTAACACCCCACTTGCACCAAATATCTTTGAAGGGCCCGCTAAGCCAATCAGTCCTCAGGCAGTCAAGGAAAGGAAAGCATTTCTGAGTCATATGTGAGGTGTAAGAGGTCACTGCTTCTTTAATTAGCTAGCCGAACGGTAGTTATTGACTTTCAGAAATATTTTTTGTAATTCACTTTTTCCATAAATTGATCTGTTCACAGGAGTCAGAAGATTAAAAACTAATAATGATAAATGAATAATCACATTTTATCTGGAATCACCTTTCTCCTTCGAAACCGTTGTTGGCCTAATCTTTTGCACCATTATGGACATGTACGGCGCGTCTCGCCCACAGATAGCTGGCGCCTAGTCGCGAGGCAGCACTAATTAGGTGCCAAAATTTGAGGTCACTTCGCACCTCGTCGCGACGCAGCACTAATTAGGTGCTAAAATTTCCCATTCGTACCACACACCCGAATGATGGTGCTACTTTTCTCCGATTTCAGATCATGATCTCACTCACACGGCTACGGCTTTGTCCAGACAGAGCTACGCGTCCGGAGCTGTTTGTAATAGAACGTGTGAGAATCTCGATCCCTGCTTCAATATACCGTTGTCTGCAAATGATCCGAAACTGCACACTGGAGTGTGAGTCGTTTCTTAGTCGTATTTTTTGAACACAGTATTCAGCTGAAGGTCTTCTCCAGCGTAGTTGTAGCTGCAGCTTCTTATGTCTCAAGATCAACTGGTTCCAGAGAGGAAGTGAGAAAGCTGTAGTACTGGAGATGCATGGGAACTAGGTATTCGTGTGCATTAGCTCCTAACCATCTGTTCCCTCACGAAGCT